GGCTTAAAATTGCATGGTTAATCTTTGGTGCTCGTTGTTCTTATTGTTGTTGTTGATGCAGCAGCTTACTAATAACGCCCGGAAACAGGTGAGACTAGTCTAAGGCCTTGTGGTCATCTAGCGAAGGGTCCAGGAATCGAGCTGTTCGACAGGTTCCTACAAGAGGAAGACTTACAGCAAGCCGTTCATACGTTCAGTATATCAGAGTTAAGTATGGATAAATAGGTATTAAGGCGACTTCAATAACCAGACCTTAATGGTGCCAAAATTCCGCGGGTAGAGAGTTCAAATAGGTGCGCACATTTTTGTGCGATCGCGATTCTAGCTTGTCGATACGCCAACCAGTATAGAATCGTTCCTTCTTTGACTCGGGCATGCTCTGTTGAGATAATTCCGACGGTAGATGTTGTGCAGTGCAATTTACGACGGCCGTCAATTGTCACGACAGACAGTGTCACGTACCGGAGTTGACCTGGGTTTGAGCCGGCCAAGGGCTGACACCCTTTCGGCGTTCAAGTGATTCTTGCCTCTTCGTTACGCACACTGGTTACATGAGAAATGATTGTGCGTGATACCTTAAGCAACCTATGGGGTGTTTTAGATCTCGACTGATGGAAAAGAAGCTTCTGTGAATCAGCTTTGAAATAAAAAATGTAAGGGTTTGCTGATGTATTCTTTCAGCGCCTATTCACAAAAGGTGCGACTGCATGCTGACGTCGGTTTTCAAGCCAAGCAAAAAATTGGTTTTGAAAGAAGAATCAGTACAAAGTTGTGAACGCGGAAAGATAAAGAACGTGTGGAAATAGGATATGCTAACAGGTGTACAACTTTGCTTCCACCGTTTTCCGAAAAGTGGCTGTACCGGCTGAGGCTAGTTGAAATACATAGATGTGGAAGGTTTATTTGGTGGGATCAGCTCGGTGTGATTTACTACGAGCTCTTAAAACCGGGTGAAACCATCACAGGAGATCGCTACCGAACGCAACTGACGCGCCTTAGTCGCGCGCTAAAAGAAAAGCGGCCGCAATATCAAGAGCGACATGACAAACTCATCCTCCAACACGACAAAGCTCGTTCTCACGTCGCAAAAGTGGTGAAAAAGTTCCTGAAAACGCTGAAATGGGCAGTCTTGCCCCACCCGCCGTATTCCCCAGATGACGCCCCCTTCTGACTTCCACCTATTCCGTTTGATGGCACAAGGCCTGGCAGATCAACATTTTCAATCCTTCGAAGAATTGGAAAAATGGATTGCTTCATGGATAGCGTCAAAAGAGGACTCTTTTTTTCGAGCTGGGATCCGAAAATTGCCGGAAAGATGGGAGAAAGTTGTCACTAGCGAAGGACAATACTTTTAATAATATATCTGTAAGAAATATTTCGCAAAAAAGCTTTGATTTTGGAAAAAACGGCGAACGCAAAGTTTTACACCTGATAACAGAGCTCGGAGCATATTTATTAAGGGAGTAAACACATCATGATCATATTTAATTGCCTTCGTAATGAAAATACAATATTCGAGTATGGCAAACAAGATTCCTAGTTGATGATTATAATGTATTTTGCTAAAGCCAGCTCCCACGGCAGTGGGACAGTCATAGCTTTGAAGTCTCCAGTTTCAACACGAGCAAAAGGGTAAGCCTTGAAATCCAACGCAGAGTCACTCGTGCCAACAGGTGCTACTTTGTACCAAAGAAAGTTTTTATATGAATATAGCAGCTCTCAAAAAACTGAAGAGTAAGTTAGAGCAACTCGGAGTCTCATGAAACACTTTCTAGGTGTAAATTCTCAAAACAGTTGAATGTTTGAACTTTGGATGGATGGATTTGTGTGCCAATACAATTTTTGCAAAATATAAAATAGATAAACATGTATATAATCGCCGAAATCATGGAAGAATATCTAGATTCTTCAGACTCGGATAATTCGCTTTTATCCTCATCAGAAATTGAAAGATCCGAAGCTAGTGAAGACGATGATTTGATTGTACTTGCCGCTTTGAGAAATAAAAGAAATTGTATCGAAACTTACTTCAAAGAAGTAATTCCAAAGTACACAGATGAAGAGTCTATGATGCATTTTTGTGTGAGGAGAGACGTATTTGCAATGCTTAGTAATAAATTTCAAGGTTCAGAAGGGTTCCAAAAACTGGATGAAATTATAGTGTAACTGAAAGCCGAGTTATTTCAAGGGTTATTTATTTTATAAGCCGGATGTCCAATATTTATATATTATACAATGGCCCAATGATGAGGAGAAAATAATAACTTCAGAGTACGTCAAAAATAAAACTGGATTAAGTGGAGTCATTGGTTAGTGAATCGTACCATGTACATATAAAAATCTTAGATTTACATTGTATGTACAATTTATTCTTTTTTTAAATATGTATGTAGGTGCAATAGACGGGATGTTCCTAAGTAGCCGCGTGATCAATATATTCATTTTCCATTTGTGGCGACATTTCTACCAATTCTTCTACACAATGCCTATGACTGATGGAGTTATTTTTATGGGCAATAGGATCATATTCTTCCTCTTTTTACATTTGATGAAAAGGTCCACTGAATTCTGCCGTTAAAGACTGGGAAAACAACTGTGTACGGAGCTCCGGGTCTTAAAATAAGTTTAGTGAATTTCGCTGAAGTTTAAATTATGTAGTGTACTTACCTTTCATCAAGTTATTTTCTATTCGCGGCGAACATTCTATGGTCACAATGTGTCCACTTCCGTTTTCCAGTTGTATTCTTTTCATTTTTATTTACTCCACGCATCTTTGAGTAAATTTGAAAGTAAATAGTAAATTTAAATAAAAACTTGGCAGACAGACCTGTCAAAATAATTATTTTGCTTGCTCTATGTTACTCTACAAAAAAGTCAGAGCAGAAAATCATGCTCTAAGTTGCTCTATTTCCGCTTAGAGCAGACTCATGAAACAAAGAGTAGAGCTAGTAAGAGCAAGAAAAGTGTCATGAAACACAATTTTGTGAGATAGAGTAACCTAGCGTAACCTAGAGCAGCTCAAAAACAGAGCGATTACATGGTTTGTCTTTTCTTGTGTGTTGCATGTTATTCTCTGATGTTTCGCATTTGTCCTCATTGTAAATTTTCATTTTGTGGAGCGTAGCTTTAAAACAAGTGTGTTTTGTCAGGATTCGGTTGAATTGTTCTATTTGGCTGGCATTCATTTAAATGTTCTTCTTATGGAGCCATGTATGTTTTATTAATTCTGAATATATTACGCCATAGCTTCTGCCTTTTGATGTTATTTTTTCTTTATATTCCTGATTCCATTCTTCTTTAATTTTATTCTCGATTTCTTTTATTGCATCTTTGATTGTCTACTTTATGCTTAATCGTTCTTCGTCTTAATCCGCCCTTTTTCGCGGCTTCGTCGACTTTATTATTGAGGACAATATTGGAATGGGCTGGGATGTGGTGGATTTCTAGTGCTTCTATTGATGAGATGTTGGTTATGTCTACAATGTTGTTTCTTATGTAGTTGTCGCTATCGTTGTCCTTAATTCTTAATATTCCGCTTCAAATATACGAAAAGCACAAAGAGGAATGATAAAAACGCATAAATTCGTTATTTCAAATTAGTATGTTTGAAAGTTGCAATCCAAACATACTGTTGCGAAAATGCGAGGCGAATGTCAGATGAAAGAGAGAAGCCGATACTTGTACATTCTAGAAACGATAAAACAAGAACCTTCCATAGCGAACAATTCGATGCTTCTACGCTTTCGTCTGCGAGCAGCCGACTGCTATATAAAGGCTGCAAGTCAAGTTAGTGACAAAGTGAACTGGTTGGCGTTGACATCAGTAAAGTCGTAAAGTAAACGGCTTGAAGATTACATTTAAGTAGAGTAAATTGTGCAAGTTGATACTAGTGATTGTAAATAGTAAAGTGTCTTATAATTGAATTGTGAATTACGGAGTAAATAAAGGACATTAGATCAAATCTTTATAACGAAAGATACTGCAAATTAAATTGGCGAGTTTTTATTTAACAATCCAGAGATGGTACCCGAAGGATTCAGAAAATCATCGAGGTTGATTTAGTAAAATCGTAAATGTCAAAAAAATGCTTGAGCACAGTGTCTCTGGGTAAACGTGAAGGACGATACAGAAAGAAAAATTAAGATAATAGGCGACAAAAGTATCCTCATCGAAACTCAGAGAACGTAAATACAATACAATGTTATTTAGTAGCCTGTTACATGCAATTTTTTGCATTTTCTTTTGTGTTTTCAATTTGCTTTCACACTTGCTGTACTTACCTGTATCGAGGTATCTGTAGCCTTCCCCTTTCTTCTCACCTCCATCGTCTACGAACTAGCAGACTTGAAAACAAAACTTGACGCATGTGAAAGAGAACTTACAATACTGTTGCGAAGAGCCGGGACGAATGCCAGTTGAAAGAGAGAAGCCGATAACTAGTACATTTTAGAACGATAAAACGAGAACCTTCGATAGCGAACAACTCGATTATTCTACGCTTTCGTCTACGAGCAGCCTACTGCTATATAAAGATGACACTCAACAGCCAAGTTAGTCAGTTACAAAGTGAACTCGTTGGCGACAACATCAGTATGGAGTCGTAAAGTAAACGCGTTGGAGATTAAATCTAAGTAAAGTAAATTGTGAAAGTTTATGCAAGTGATTGTTGCTAATAAAGTGCATTGTAATTGAATTGTGAATTACTGAGTAAATAAAGGACATTAGATAAATTCTTTATAACGAAAGAAACTGCAAATTAAGTTGGCGATTTTTATTCAACAATCCAGAGATCGTACCCGAAGGATTCAGGAATTCATCGAGGTGGAATCAGCAAAATCGTAACAATTCATTTACTTTCTCTGCCTTTACTCTACCACAAAGTTTGTTAGTTCAAGCTGTTTCTGCCAGAAAAGTACGGGAACACAACCAAAAGAAAAAGGTTAAATTATACAAAGTTCATGTTCTCTGCTATTCACTGTATGTCAAATAAGAAACTGTTTACGTTCCCATTTGGCTCACATCTGCTGATTTCACTTTTGTGTATTTGTTGTGATTAGATAAGGATTGTAGTGATAATTAGCCAGAATAATAGTTTAAAACAGTATTATATTAAAAAGATTAATCGCTAATCTACACGAGTGGGATGTGGCTTTCTGCACAATAATCATAGTTGCGTACACTATATAACAGAAGCACCCAACACAGTCTTCAATGAAGAGTAAAGCCATTGTTTCCGATAAAAGCTGACAACGAAATTTGGTCACTACATTGACACGTACAATTGCTTAGCTCAACTACAGCAACGGTCGAAATTTGGAAAAGTAAAATTTGACAAAGTAGAATTAAGAAAATAAAATGTGTGTGATATTTTTTTATGTGAACTCAAATCCAGCTCCGGGTGGTTACAAACTAATATTAGCGTCAAATCGGGACGAGTTTTTTGCACGAGATACACAAGATGCAGCTAAGTGGGCAAATGCGGAGCATGTTTATGGAGGTTCGTTGACTCTTAATCTAAATACATACATACATTTGTGTTGTATGGAAAATTATATGTTTTTCTACAATTTACTTTATCAGGCATTGACCTCGAAACTGGCCGCGAGGGTGGCACTTGGCTAGCGATTGGTGGCCATGACGGCGTATTTAAAGTAGGTGCTTTGCTTAATTTGACAGGCGAACCAAAACCAAGAAATGCTAAGGGTGAGAAATGATCTTTGTACTACCAATATGTATAGCCGTAATAAGTGTCTAACCTTTGTTACTCTACCGACTACGCATTATTCAACTTACATTGAAAACGAATGCACCTACACGGACATATAAACACACATACAAAACAAAATTAAATACATAATTAAACTAAATTGTAAACTTATCTCGTATTGTACCAATGCATGTGTGTGGTTTAACTGTTAAATTTTTAAATTTATTGAGCACCTAAACACCCAACGTTATTTATTTACATGTTAACAAATTTTAAATTATTTTGAATAAAAAAAACAATGTGATACATACACACGCAGCTATACCACACCCTAACATAATGTATATTCATCATCATGACAACAATAAGGCTGACGACACAGGAATCCACAATTCTACAGACAACAAATCAAACAACTTATTACTATTACATCCTGAACATTTTTTGCTAGGCCGTGGCATGATCGTATCGAACTTTGTTGCCTCTACGGATGACTGCAATATTGACCATTACAATAGTGAACTATTGGCTGAGTGTACCAAGTACAGTGCGTTCAATTTCGTTTCAATTGAAATCGGGTGAGTGGAGTATTTTTTTAATTAAAAATCATACACACATACACATCTACATAATAAAATAATTTACGTTTTTTGAATTTTAGTGACTCGAAAAAACCAGCTAAAATATCACTTTTAAGCAATACACCAGCCGGCTTAGAGCACTTTGACGAGGGCAAATGCCATGGTTTCGGCAACAGTCTGGCTGCGGTGCCTTTTCAAAAAGTCATAAATGGGCGTGAGCGCTTTCAAAATATAGTTGACAATTTCCATAAAAACCTACAGACATCTACCCCAGATGACGCGTATAATATGCAAAATGAACTAGTCACAAATCTGAAAAATTTACTTAAATGTAAACATAAATTTTGGCCTGATGCTGAACTGAAACGACGTGCACCTAATTGGGGTGAGCATTTGAGTGCGCTGAATGTGAATATACCAAATGCTGAATATGGTAGTCGCACGCATACGGTGATTTTGGTAGATGAATATGATAAAATGCATTTCTATGAGGAAACAATGGCTGGTCTGGATCCCGAGGGAGAATGGCGGTGTACGCATCTTGAAAAATGCTTTTTTCGTAACTAATGTTAAGGTAAAACAACAACACAAGCATAGTAAATTATAAGTCCATTCTACCCCTGCGGGTAAGGCATGCCTGTCGTAAGAGGCGACTAAAATCCAATAGTTTCCGCGACAGTCGGGTCTTTATACCGGAACGACCCGGATTTTTATCCGGCCAAGGACTGTCACTCCCGTAATATTCCCCAAAAAGTACTTTGGGGAATAATTTTGCGGTTACAACAACAACAACAACATAAGTCCATTCTGTTAACATATGAGTTTGGCTAGACCCAAGACTTAAGCAAGTTGCTTTTAAAAATTTCATTATAAGCTTTTTTACTCAGGTGAAACAACTTAAAAGAATTGTTCATAGATGTAAAGTGGAAATAATACTAACAATTTTTTAACTTTTATTTGTATTTTTAAAGTGTTCAACGTCTAATATCAGTTAAGTAGTTTAAATGGTGTTGTTTAGCTTTATTTTATTAAATTTATTACGATTTATAACTCTTAGCAGTTAACAAAAGATTAAATATTTTTTTTTGTAGTATGTACATACAGTCCATTCCATTTTATTGCATTAGTTTTATTTTAAAATTTTATTGTTTATATGATTTAGCTACTCTTTGTTTAACGCCTTTCAGCGCACCTTTGCGCGCGCCATTGACTATATTCTTAAATGTGCCTGCATGTTTTGCACGCTTTCTGTAAACAAAACAAACAGCAAATAGTATTAATAAAAGAAAAAGCAAATGAATGAGAAGCATATAAATATTAATAAAGTTTAATAATTTTGGTTTTTTTAAGTATCAAACCCACCTTTTGTTCAGCGTATTTCTACTAAGCGGTATGTACGCGAACGGATCGAGCTTGCCTTTCTTCTTCATATCGCCTTTAGCTTTCTTAGTTGTATACTCGCTGCCAGCGTTTACGGATGCCGCTATAGATTTGCCGGATTTTGCTGTCTTAGCAGAATAGCCAGATTTCATGGACATTGCATCGCTGCCAGCGCCCAGCGGTCGATGTATACCTTTGCCACCGGCGATATATTTAGAAGCGGAGGTCTTGCCGGAACGCATGCTAATAGCATCTGTTGCTTTACGTTTGCGGCTTGTAGTGGGCAATTCTTCTTCTAGAGAATAATTAAATAAAATTTTTGAAAATATGCAAATATTTCAAAATTATTCGATGGAAACAAACTAACCATCACTTGAGTCCATTTCCATGCCGCGCTTAGGCGCTTTCTTCACATCAACACCCTCATCGCCGTCTTCGCCATCACTATCATCACTGCTGTCATCATCATCATCGCCGCCCACACCACGTAGTGCCTTATCACTTATAATCAGTCTTCCATCCTGTGCGGTCTTAAAACCACGATTTGGATCCTTATTCTTGGTTTTAGTGCTGCCAACAGCATTTCCTGGCGCATCTGGTCGATTTGCTAAACACAAAAGAAGTTTTTATAGTAATTAGTAAAATGTCGACATTACTGTTACACATTTGCTACACACTTAACACATTGCCTATCGACTTAATGTCAGCCAAGTCCACAATATCCTCTGGATCTTCCCGTATAAATGTGCTGCCACGTTTCTTATTCTTCTTCTCAGCTTTGTCTTGTGCATCATCGTCTGTATCCATCTCTTCGGGCAAATCAGAATCTGAATCGGCCAATATGTCATCAATGCTGTAAACATATATAATAGATAATATTAATTTTGGCTTAAACAAAAAAAACGAATTACGCCAACATACGTCACACTCTTCTTCTCTAGCCCAGCAACAAATTCATCCTCAGATTCATCATCGTCGTTCTTATCCTTCTCGTTCAACTGCTTGCGTGTCTCACGACGCATTTGTTTGCGTATTTTCTTCAAACGTCGATGTGTTACCTCATCATCACCAGGCACAAATTTAATGAGTTCATCGGCTGTGAAACGCTTGCAGAGTTTTTTCAACAGATAACCGATTTGTATGCGACAATAACGTTTGGTATCCTTGGCCATGGCGGAGAGCGCTTTCATCTAAATAAATATATATGTATTAATACTTTTCTAAATAAGAATAAAATAAATAAGAAATCCTTACAATCGTCTGCAAGTGATTGGCAACCAAAGGCGAGGGCATTACTTTTATAAAAGTAATGAGAAATGCGACAGATGCTTCGGCGAGTGAGCGTGTTTTTTGTACCAAAAAAACCAAAATCTGCTCCATTATAAATTCGAGCGTGGTTATTGTTAAATTTTTACCCTGCTGTTGTAGAACAGTGCGAAAAGCCAGTATTGTGTTCGTAATTAACGACTCATCACCCGCAAAACCGGCTGTTAGGATATCGACAAAGTCATTCAACCTGCCAGCTTCCTGTTGATTTGGAAAAAGAATCTTGTGATTTATTGAAAATTGTATATTGCTGTATTGTAAAATACCTGATAGAGATTAACCAAGAAAATTATAAGCTCCTCCGAAACATTTTCTTTGCGTGTCGAGAACTCTTTGTAAGTGAGTACAGCTTCCGGTATTGTTTTCATTACAATTTTATCATTCACTGTTAATGATTTGCGGTTTTCAATGAGAATTTTTAGACATCTGCAAAAAATAAGGATGAATAAAGGGATTTCTTTTAATTTTCGAATTTTTTAAATTTTCGAACTTTCGAAATTTTCGAATTTTCAAAATTTTCGAATTTTTAAAATTTTCGAATTTTCAAAATTTCCAATACAAAAGTTACCTTAAACGCGCTGCTTGGCACACAACGCAACTTGTAGAAAAAGCGTCTAACAGCAACTTCTGCAAAGCAATGCTATTTTTACGAGTAAATTTCTGGCAAGAAGCTGCCTCGGAGGTGAGTATATCACGGAGAAGTCTAAAATTCGCAAAAAAAAAAAAATTAAGATATTAATACTTTAAACTATACTTTCGAACACCACGACCTACTCATAAGTTCTGCGTTGCTGTTTTCTCAATTTTTGCTCGTCCTTAGCGACCAACTTCGATTTTTCGTTCTTCAGCACGGGCACAATGAATTCCTCGAAGAAAACGCGTATAGCTTCGCTAGTTTGGAAGACCAGCAAGGCAGCGTTGATATCAAAAATGGCATCATATTCAAATGTGCCTACGTCGGTATTGGAAAGTTGTGTTTTTGCAGACTCGAATAGCCCATGCAGAACGTCAGTTGGCGTTCTTGTAAAATATAGCTAAGAAAAATTAAAAGGGGAAAGTTAAAGCACAAGTTTCACTATAAATGAAACATTTTTTACCAACCTTAATCACATCCAAAGATTTCTTGCGCAAATCCGCCTCATAAGAAGTACTCGGTTTCTGCGCATAAACATTGAATAAACGAGGCAGAAAATTTTTGGAATATTTTGCCAAAGACTCTTTAATTTCTGCGCTCTCTTCATTGGAAATCAACTCAGTTAAACCGTCGTATATTGGCGCACGAAACTCCGGATTGTTGTCAAGCGCATTACCCAGCGTGGGCGCAATCAAACGTAAATTTTCAGGATCTGCTGGTTCACGACAAAAACCTGGGAATAAACCCCACAATTGACAACACCATAATTCGTAGGTGTGTGAAAGCGACTTTTGTTCGCCTTGCGCATGCTGGTGCCATTTGTTGTTGCAATCCAGTGCAAGTGGCAGAACAAACTCCTTGAAAAACTTAAAAGTAGCACCTTTAGCGCCCTCACGCAGCAGCGGTAGTAACCAAGACCGTTCTAGTAAGACTTCATTCTTACTATTTGTCAAGGGTATAGTTTTCAAAACATTTTCCGGCCCCATCGATTGTATAGCGGCGATTATGGTGTGTTCTATTTGTACGCGGAGAGCGCTTTGGGTGTCGTAACGTTTTGAGAGTGTTATCAGCGACGGTCCTAATTCCTTGCTAAAGTTATAGGGAGAGAAATTATTCCTTGGTAAAGTAAAATGCATGTGAACCGTAAATATCACTCACCTAAAGTATTTGCCGCAAACTTCGAAAACAAATGAAAATATCAAAATCACATGTTTGGCCATTTCACCGAAGGGTGCATTCAACACTTTCTCCAGCGAAGCGATTATGCGTATAACTGATATGCGATATACTTCAGCCTGCTCTGCATTCTCACAAGCTGGTTTAACGCACTCGTATAGCAATTCTTTAATACTATTTGAAACACTATTATTTATTTCAGCACGTTCAGACAACCACAAATCAGAAGCGCAAATGTCCACAAATCGTGGCAGCGCACTCATACACAAATTTAAATCCAATACAGCCAAATGAATATGACCCTCCTTTAATACCGTAACCCATGCAACAGTTTGGCGTATATCAACACGATCTGGGCGATATTCGTGTATAGCAGCTAAGAGTTTTGCACATAATGGACCATTCAAGTTGGTCGTACGCGAAGAAAATAGTGCGTGTAGAGTTTGGAAGCAATTTGTACGTATGAGTACGTTGGCGGCGGTCATTATGGAAAGTAAACTTTCACAAACGGCGCGTATATCTTCCGTTTTAAAGCCGCTCAAGATGTCTTTAAGTAGTGTAAGGGTGTGGAGTACCGTTGTCTGCGAATTTGCCAGCACTTCGGGTTTAAATTGACTGAGACAAAACTTCGTAATGCGACCGCTGGCCGGATGAGTTTTGACTTTCGGTTGTTCCACCGACATTTCGTCTTCATCTTCTTCGTTCTTGGGCGTACGCATGAAGGAACTGCCGTGAACAATTGACACAATTGCATGCTGTGCAGCTTTGCGTAACTGTAGGAAGACCAAAATGTTGTTTTTTTTAACTAAAAATACAAATATAATGTCTACATACCTTTGGTTTAGAGTGTATGGTGAAAGAAAGAATAGCATCGATGTATTGCCATGTTGAGGAGTAAGTCCAAGTCATATAATCTTGTGCACAAAGCAACACGGATAAGCAGCCAATTATCTAAATTAAAAAAAAGGATTAGTATTTATTTCAATTTATTTATTACGCTTAGATATGTTAATAATTTACTAACATATTTCATAATCGTCTGGTTAGACGATTCAATGAAGCGTTTTAAGCATGCTAAAAATGTTTGTGCCGTTTCACCAAAACGTTTACGCAAAACTGTTGCAGGCACCGATTTAATACCCATAGACAGCAACGAAATACCAGCTATTATATCATTTTCTTCTGTGCTCGCTTCAATTTGTTCCATAAGTAAAATAAAATATTCAGTTGACGATTCCGTACCGCCACGCTCACGAATCACTTCGGTTATCGCAGTTAGTATAGCTAACATTTCTTTGTGCAGGTCAGATGAAGCCCGAAAGCCAACCAGCAGCTTCTTAAAACTCATATTACTGCAGGCACTATAATTTGATGCGAACGTTTTGAAAGTTTTAAACGTGCCTTGTTGTGATTCTGACATATTCTCATCGTCCATGCCATCATCGTTCAAACTAAAAGACTTCAGACTGCCGGCTACATCGTTAACTGTTGTTGTTTCAGCATTATAAGCCAAACGTTGGTCATGCTTTAGCACAGCATCCAATGTTAGCGTATTCGGTTTGGCATTCGCTTCGGGTGGCGCTGTAATATGAAATGAAAAATGAAATAAATTTCAATTAATAAGAATGCATTTGTTTACAAACCTAAACTCAAATTCGGCTGAAAGAATCGAGACTTGGCTTTGAGACGATGTTTCATTTGCTCGGGGTTTGATGTGGACGATTGTCCTTTACTCCATGTTTTGCCTTTGGTATGACGCTTTAGTTTAGAACGAAACTTTCCCATTTTGCAATGCGTTTTGGCAAATTAAAATAATAAAAACTACTTAAAAATCACTGTGAAAACACAAACACGTGTCGCCAATGCACTTTGCAGGGTGTAGAAGAATTAATGAAGTGAAAAATGTCAACGAAAAGGAAACAAGAAATAAACATGTCATTTTTATCAGGGTTGCTAAGGGCACTAACTGATTTATCATGACATATGCTATTTGTATACTGAATCGGAAGAATTCTAATCTACAGATGTACTCAAATTTGCTTTATCATGCAACAACATGCTTTACTAATTAATTTAAGTGTTTAAAAAATGGTAAAAAGTTTTTGAAAGTGTATTGATTCTCTACTACACTTTTACAAACTAAAATTTTTTTAGTTTACTGTGTGTACAAAAATTTTTCGAAATCACATCACTGCTTGTTAAACAGCTGGCATTTATGTTTGTTTTTGTATCCAGTTGATGTTTTGCCATTCGTCGTTGATGTTCGATTTTTTTGTTACGATTGTATAAAAAGAAGAGTAAACAATCAATTTTGCAACAAAAAAGTGGTAATGAAAAAGTTTCAAGCACATGTTGTAATCAAACTTACACGGAAATCAAAGGAATAAAATAGTGCAAGAGCGTTATGAAATATAGTTGTTAAAAAACTATGTGCCTGTTTTAGTAAACAAATTGACATACAAGCGTAAAAGTAGACAAAAGGCAACTCAAGTTTGAGGTTTATTGGCGTTTAGGAGACGAGGCAGGCACAAGAAGAAAAAAGAAAGTAATATCAAGTTAACTCCAAGTGGAAATTGGGTCAAAATAAGAAAAAAACGCAAAAGGCTAGTGAAAAATAAAAAAAAAACCTACCAACATTAGTGCGAGATAAGTGGTATTATCATAAAAACATCACAAAGCACAAAAGGGAGTTGAATGACACAGCGCTCTATATACTGCGGTCAGTAGAGAGTGAGTAGCGCTTCGTTTTGTTGGCGCATACTCAAAGATCAACAAGCACTGTAGTGTATTGTTTTGTTTCGGATCAGCAGAAACTGCTGGAGGAAGCGTTATGGAATATTTAAAGGATATGACAAAAAATCTATTGGATTTTCTCTGTGAGTTACATAAAGCGAATAAGTAATTTCTGTAATTATACCTATTTTTATTTCCTCCATAGCTATCTACATTGACTTGGACTATTCGCTATGGCTATACCGCCTACTTTGGCCGCTGATTGTTACATTCCTACTTCCATTAGTCTTCGTGGCACTTATTTACATATCATTTGTGATGCTCTTCATTTATAAATTGCACAGGTAAGATTTTTTTTATTTATTTTTCTGCAATTAGCATAATGTGTCATTAAACGGCAATCCACCGCTTGCGCAATTACGCAAATTTAGCATATTCAGCGCCGCGTTTGGTTTGGTATAGTAAGCAAAAACACCAAGCATGGAAATATCTACATACATAGAGATGTAACCAAAATATATAGTTAATTTCATTAAACGAAGAAGCTTCTTTTAGCAGTGCATTATGAAAAGTTATTTATAATTTTCTAAGAAGTGTTCCTAAATATGTAATTTTTCAACATATTTTTGCAAAAATTAGCAAGAAAAATGCAAAATTTGTTATCGTTTAACTTTTCTCATTTTTTCGGTGGCTAATGCTTTTGAAACCACAAGCATATAAAAATAAATATAAAATTGTCAAAACAGGAAATGCGGAAGCCATTTGCCGTCGGTCGAAAATCAAAGTTCTTCTAATATTAATATACCCACTTATGTATGTATGCATAATGTAAAATAAATTCAAAGTACATGCTATCTAAAATATGGTAGATTAAAGTATCTTAGTTGGAAACATTAAAAATTATATGGATACAATGTACGCATGATTGCTTTTATTTACACGTACGTACATATGTACGTACATACATATATAAGAGCTTTGATTCATTCAGCTAATGATCAAACAAAACAAATAGTTTTCCATGTTAGGAACTCGAAAGCAGTGACGCGAGCCGCTATAACAATACAACAACGCTCTCCTATCATCGAGTTCTGTTGCAAACGCTTACGCACCAGCTATGCATATTTGTATGTATTTTGTATGTATAAATGACTTGCCCTTTTGAGGAATAGTTTTTTAATTTTATTTTTAATGGCAGATTGGAGAATGAAATTAAACAATAATTATACACATACATATGCATATATACGTAAGTGTTTACTTTGCTTTTGCAGCTTTAAGTACATTTTGTATCGGCATTTGTTTTTGTAACTGGTGTGCAAACATTTGACGAGTCGAAAGGTGGCGAATACTTAACAAATGTTTAAAACACGTTGCTGCGATTTTAAATTACTTTGTTTCAATTAGTAATTCTCTAGACATTACTTTTCAGCAGTATTTGTATGTGTATAGAAATATGTTAGTTAATCTCTGATTGAGAATTAATTTTACATCGTAAGAAACGATCCTCATCGTTGATTTATAACAACGATTTATACTGACTGTAAGGCAAATCCGCTTTTGCAATTCGTAATGAACTTTATGCATACACATATATATGTATATACATATGCTTACATGCTCATTCGTGTTCAAAAATTTTAATCCACATGCTATGGCTTCCAATCAGCACTAACAAATAATTAAATCATTACCAGTTGAACACAAAATATACTACATATATGTAAATTCTAAGGCTTTTTACGTTTTTTACAAACCTTAAAATTTTTTTTTTTTTAAAATTTGCGTTGCCTCTACTATCATTATTATTTTTTTTTATAAAATCACTAAATCATTATCTATTGTACGCGTACACGTAAGTTTCAGTCTGAAAATAGTTCAAAAGGAATTTGTTTTATCAGCAAACCAAAAACACTGGATATTTCTAGCAAAGTTTAATTTAATAAATATATATGTATATACATATGTATAAAGTTTATTTAATAAATATATATGTATATACATATGTATATAAATAAATTAATCCGCAACTTATCAAAATTGCTCTATGAATGAATTCAACTTTAAAAACGCCCCGGAGCAAGTAAATTGCATATTGTTGTTAATATAAAACTTTTTTACAAACCTATGCACATAAATACATTTGTTATGATTATGAATACTTCTTATTCATTTCTAATTGATTAGTCATTGTTTGGACATCTGTTATCTCCATAGATATTTTTTATTATTCGAAAACGTAAACGGCAACTTATGTGAAGCACACAGTGAAGCAAGATATTGAGTTAATATTTGCATCGCAAGTTTTAAAATGTCTAACTTTAATGTTCAAAATAAAAATAAATGATTATTTAGTGAAAGCGACACATATGTAGCTTAATGGGTGACCATTGGCTCGTACTGTGAGCACCCCAAGTTCGAATCCAATTCGAACTAAGGTGTCTGTTGAGGAAACGTGCGGGTTTTCGAAATAGTAGCTATAACTTCTACCGTCCAAAACTGTTGTTGTAATTTTTTCACTATTTCCAAAAGAATATTTGGTACACCTAGTGGAATGGCCTAAAAAAAGGTGATTTTTGGGAATTTTTATTAAAAAAAATACTTTAACAATTATTAAATTAAAATATGATTCCGGCCTTCTTCGTGGATGAAATCTAAATTTGAAATTTTAATATGTTATTTTAAAATATAAATTTTTTGAAATTTCACACCAGGTGTGCCCTTTAAAACCAAATACAAAAACAATAATCTGAAAAAGTATTTCTTTTTTTATTATTTTTATTTTATACAATAACGGTCAAATTAATAGTAAATAATCTAAAAAAAGTTATATAGAACATAAAAGATACTCAAAATATAATCGCCTGTCGAGCTGAAATAATTTCAAAAGCGTTGAGATTCAGAAACGAAAAGGAATCTTACCGAAGATATACCGTTATGACTTCACGAATCGAATATAATGATGTGGAGTTGCCTTTTATATTACTGTGTAGGCCCCATATACCGCGTAACCAGCATAATGGATAGTCGAAATTATGTCAGGGAAGAGATGCCAATAAGGTGGGTCTGTCTGCAAGACATCGACCTGGAACATACTAACAAATTGGCGAAACAGTGATTTTTGGCAATTAAGGTAGAGGTCACAAAACGATCTTTGCCGCGGGGTTGAATGAGCATGGTATACCATACCAGTTAAAAATGACAGATCGGATGGACGCAATGCATCGTAGCGTTGTTGTTATTGTTGCTGTTGTAACCGCAAAAATATTCCCCAAAGTACTTTTTGGAAAATGTTGCGGGAGTGACAGTCCTTGACCGGATAAAAATCCGGGTCGTTCCAGTATAAAGACCCGACTGTCGCGGTAACTATGGGATTTTAGTCGCCTCTTACGACAGGCATGCCTTACCGTGGATCAATTCTTGAACCTCTAGCCCACAGGTGGGCTGAATGAGTCGTCGTTTAATGCGGTTATAGTCAACAGTGGATTATCCACAAAATACTAACTGCTGCATCTAAGATGATCTGAGCTGTAATACTTATTATACAATTACTTTATTTTAATAAGTTTTTGAGTGTTCTGTAGTTATCACTGCTACTATTTTGAGCGCATAATAATGCATAGTTTTATGTTTCTTATTTTTCAATATATGTAGTCTCCCTCAAGGGAAGTACCCTTCTCATATTGTGAATGCCAATGCCCTTGTACCACTGCAAAAATATTTCTTAGATTTCTGTTCAAAATGGTTTTCTACAGCTGCTTTCACCTCACTGTCGTCTGAAAATCTTCGTACTCGTAATTCCTTTTTAAATTTGAAAATAAGGTGACTCGTGAGCAATCGCGATACCCAACGCGCCCTAATTCGTTTCATATTCAAATATTCATGTGAAATCTCTTCAGCTCGTTCTTTGATCATCTGTAATCCATCTGCCATCTACTGCAATTTAATTCTTCGATCAGCCAGTACTGATTTTTCGACTTTCTGAACTTTTCCATTGGTCACGACACGGGCGAAAGTCATCTTCACAGGTCTCTCTTCCTTGTTAAAAAAACCGAGCCCATTTTTTCTTATGTGAAGGGGCGGAGTCCGGAAGAATCGATGGCATCTCTTTAAAAGCTTATTTCTGCGTATTTCCTTTTTTACAAGGATTTTAATCACAGCGCGGTGCTCCAAGTTGTGAGAGTTTTCAGTTTCCATTGACATAGTGTTGCTGCAGTCTTTTATTTTTCTTCAGTTGTTGTTTGACATTTCATCAAGACAGGTCTTACGCCTGAACACCTTGACAACGTTTATTACGAAAATTACTCTCTGTAAAGAATGTATTTCGCGAGCTACGCTCAAGTTATAGTAAACATAATCGGCCTACTGAGCTTACGTAACACCATCACTCATCTTGAGATCCAGCATTCGTTCTTGGAAAATTTTCGACAGAATAGACCACGTACAGCGGCAATAGCAGAGAGTGTGCACGGAGATCTGACTCAGCGCCGTTCGCAGCAACTCCGATTTAAGTATGGGACGACTTGGCGTGTTTTACGTCGAGACCTTAAATCGAAAGAACTGATGCCGCTCGACCTTACCAAGAGACATCGATTCGCTCTACGGGCTCTTGAAAAGTTCCAAGAGGATCCGACGTTTTCGAGCCAAATTTTGTTCAGCGATGAAGCTCATTTCTGGCTTCGTACTGGCAAATTTTCCGCATCATCCAGAAAAAACAACGGTTTGATGTGGTTCGTGGACCGTTGGGATCATCAGTTCATATTTTTTCAAAAGTGATGCCGATGGGAACGTAAGCGTCAGTGGCGACCATTATCACGCCATAGTAACCGACTATTTAATGCCTGAAATTGAAGCTTGTGTTCTCGATGACATTAGGTTTCAACAAGGTGGTGCAATTACACACACATTGCATCAATCAATGGATTTATTGAGAGAACATTTTGGTGAGCAGATGATTTTACGTTTTTAGTCGGTCTTATGGCCACCAAGATCGTGTGATATCACGCCGTTAGACTCTTTCCTGTGGGGATGTGTATCGTGTAAAGCCTATGCGGACAATCTCGCTTCAATTCAGTCTTTGGAGAAAAACATCACGCGTGCCATTCGCCTGTTACCATTCGAAATGCTTGAACGAGTCATCGAAAATTGTACTCACGGATGGACCATCTGAGATAATCTTCATAGATTCTTCCTTTGAATGATAAACATTCCCCATCAAGTTTGAATTATCTGCTTTTTTTTAAGTAGGGAACTTCAAAGGTTTATATATGTTATAAAGGGTGATTTTTTAAGAGCTATAGGAAAGTTGGTCCAAAAAAACACATAAAATTCAGAAAAATGCATG